TGAGCCGAGGGCAGACGCTTAACAACTGAGCCACCCAGGTGCCCCAGGTAAAATATACTTTAGTTGATATTTTAAAGTTTTTTCTTTTTTCTATAAATTATATGAAAGTTTTTACATGATTATGAAGACTAATCATTTGTTCACAAATGTATGGACTTCAAATCATGAGTCTCTGGAGAATCTGTAAGAAAATGTATTAAAAGCTTTCGCTCTCTGCTATCCAATTATAACAATGCTAAATTTAGTCAGATTTTGGTTTGTCCTCATCTGCGCAATGATGATAATCTCTAATTTGGACTTTCCAATATAAGCATTGTTATGAAATTGTCTGTAGTCTAAGATTGCTTAGAAAAGGCAAAAATAACCTTAATTCTTGCAAATCTGAACAACAATATGCAGCATAAAAAGAAGAAAAGGCTCATTGCATAACAACTCAGTAGGACAGTGAATACCCAAAGCCTCCTTCCATGGAGTTACCCAGCCCTGAAAACAATTTTCCTTTATTCAAGCATACTTTAAAAAAAAACCCCAAAAACCAAAAACCTATAATCCCCATTAAAACTTTCAGAAGCAATTTTGGTATGGACCACGCCAGGAACAGAGAAAGTAGGTAAGATATTTAACAAATAGGAAAAGTATAGGTCATATTTATATTATCAAATGATTAGACCTTTCGGCTATATTAGGTTTACTGAATTACACCTTTATCACTTAATACAGAGATCTTCCTTGCAGCATATAGTCTAGCCAAAAGTTATAAAGTTCATTTCTGTAAAACCCAGGGAAGTCAATGAGCCTTGGTCCAATAACTAAATTACTTATGCCTCTTGTCAAGAATGTTTTATGCACATGCGCACATATACACACACCCTATGTAGCAAAAAGCTTTCCTAACAATTTCTGATATATCATCTCCCATTCTCTCACCTAAAATAAAATTACTTTCCTTACCAGACTCAATCAATAGTATATTTTAATCTCCTTTCCTGCCCTGTGTCTTATGCTCCATTCAAACCTTCATTAAGTAACCTGACCCTTTCTGTCTTCAGAGCATGAACACTAACTAACTTGAAACCAAGGTACACAGTTTAAACTTGGGAACTAGATAATATCTCAAGCAGTTACAGAAAAATATATGTTATAAATTATAAAAGAGATACCTAATTAATCATGAAGTCAACCTAATGAGGTTTCTTTTTAGACTTTTTTTGTAAGAGTCTTTTTTTAGACTTTTTTTGGTAAGTCTTCTTTTCTGTTATTTTTTTCCCTCTCAGGCATATCAGAATTATGAAGCAGAAGTGCTATCTTCACATTCCCCTTAAATTTCCTTTTCTTTCTCCTTTGTTTCCTCTGTATCTGACATCATCAATAGGTACAGGTCCATCACATATCTTTCAAAATTGTATACCCGTCAATGAAAGGGTCTTTAATAACTGCTTTGAACATTTAGCAGCAAAAAATTTACTCTTCTTTCAAATGTTCTTGTTTTCTAGAGCACTTCATCCATTTAAGAGGCTTTAAAATTCTTTTATAGATTTTACACCCATGCTCATTAATATAACCACTTGATTTTAATAAATATGAACCTTATAAATAAAAATAAAATGAAATTTTGCTAACATCTCAAAATAACACTAATAAGTGTTTTACTGCCTGCTAGCACTAAATAAAGTAATATTAATAAGGATCATCATTCTTAGCCTTCCACAATCAAGCAGATTCTTTGGAAGCTACTATTTCAGTAGGACAATAGCCACTAGTTTGGGGTACAGGTCTAAATTCATTCAAGTATAACCTCATTTTTTCACAGAAAATTTTACATATTTACTGTGCTTCAACTATGGTTACAGGTACTTGGCTGTGAGCAAAATAACTGTATCATCTCCTTATTCTCAAAGAACTAGAGTTTGTGCAGGAGAATGACATTAATCAAATAATGGCATTTGTAAATGTACACTTACAAACTGAGATGGGGTTTGTCAAGAAAGACAGTGGGATTCCATGAGAAACTATCAAAAGAATTTGACTCTGATTTGGAGTCAAGGAAAGAAACCTCTCCTAAAAAAGTGATATTTAAGTAGAAATCTGAAGGATGACTAGCAAATTGTTAATTAGGCAAAAGAAGTCATGAGATGGCGGGGGGGCGGGGGGTGGGTAGGAAGAAAGGAGGACTCTTCAAAACTGAAGGAAAAGCATGTGAAAATGTCCTAAGAGGCATATTAGTTTCTTACTGCTGCTGTAACATATTACCACAAACTTAGTGGCTTAAAACAATACAGATTTATTATCTTACAGTTATGGAATTTAGAAGTTCAAAATGGATCTTACAGATCTAAAATCATGGTGTTCTTTCTGGAGGCTCTTGCGAAGAATCTGTTTCCTTGCCTTTCCCAGCTTCTAGAGACTGCCTACATCCCTTGGCTTGTGGTTTCTTTCATCCATCTTCAAAGCCAGCAAGAGTCAGTCCAATCTTTTTCATGATAGTTTCTCTTTGGTTCTCTCTCTTCTGCTTCTCATTTTCACTTAGGACCCTTGAGCCCATCTACAAAATCCATGATAACCTCTTTATCTCAAAGTCTTTTATTTCATCACGTCCCATTTTCCATGTAAGGCAACATATTTATAGGTTCCAGGGATTAGGACAATGGACATTTTTGGGGAGCCATTATAATACCACCATGAGAGAGATTATATATCATTTATGAATGGAAAGGTCAGAGTAGCTGGGTGTGCAAAGTGAAAAGGAAAGTGGTACTGGATGAGGCTGGGGAGGTGGGCAAGGATCACACTATATATAACATCATACACCATATCAAGGGTTTTGATCTTTATTCTAAGAACTCTAGGAAGCTAGCTATAGAAGTAGTGACAGATTAGATTTTATATTTTAAAAAAATATCCTTCTGGCTACTGGATACAAAGTGTATTTTAAAATAGCAGAGGTTCAGGAGAAAAGATGATGGTGACTGCAACAACAGATATTCAGATGATTATTATTCAGATTGGTGAAGTCATTTGGGTCTTTACTTCCTAACTGGGTGATTCTATAACTTTGGCTAAACATCTTTCTGGTAGTTCTATGGGGAAGATGAAATGTTATGATATATAACTTGCCATTTATACAGAAACAATCCCAGGCATGATAAAGACTCTTTGTATTATATTGCTTCTATTATTAATTACTGTGCATAACTCCATACTAGTAAATTAGACAACTTCAGTAATATGGATGATTTTATGGAAAAGGTTAAAATGATTATACCCAAATAAATTTCTATCTGAAGAAGAAATATAATTCAAGAAGTAAAAAACTTGAATAAATTAAGAACCCTTAAAAACACTGAGTGGGGGAAGAGGGTTAGAGAATGGGGAAATGGAGGGGGGGCAGGATCCAAATCATGTTAGATCTTGGAGCTTATTCTAAGAATATTGGCTTTTAGTATAAGTAAAATTGTGAACCTTTTGAGAGTTTTGAGGGGTGTCATGGTCTAAACTGGGCATTACAACTAGCTGATACTTTGAAAATAGACAGATCACAGGGGTGTTAGTGTAGAGAGACAGAGGCCAGGGAGAGACTATGCCAATAATCCAGAAGAGGCTTATTGTGGTTTAGACCAGGATGGTAGCACTGAATGAGGTGGAGGGAGTGGCTGGGTTTTTACTATGTTCGGAAGGGTTTCTGATGGATGTGAGAAAAAGAAAGTGGTCAAGAATGACTCCCAAGTTTTAGCCTGAGTAAATAGTGGGAAAGAGTTGTCATCAATGGAGATAGGGGAGACTGACTTTGGGTGTGTGGGAGATCAAGTATCTCAGGTAAGTACATGATAGGGAATTCTGGTAGACCCTCAAGTGGAGTTGCAGAGTAAGCAATTGAATATGAATTTAGAGCTCAGGGGAAAGGTCTAAGCTGGAAATATAAATTTGGGAGTCATTGTATATAAATAGCATTTAAAGGTTTGAGACTAGATGAGATCACTGAGGGAGAATGCAGAATATCAAAAGCTCCACTAGGATGATGCCTGAGGCACTTAAGTATTAAGAGGTGGGAAAGAAGATTAAGAATCAGCAAAGAAGGCTGAAATGGAGCAGCTAGTGAGGTAAGAGGTAAACCAAAAAGAACATGGCGCCATGGAAGCCCTACCATTTTCTTTTCTAACATCTACTCATCTTTCAGATCTCAGTCGAGGGATATTTTATTCCCTAGACTTAGGTTAGTTGTCTCTCCTAAGTGTCTCCACAGCACCCTGCCTCCACAGTATCTTAGCTTTTTTCAATTATATTATAATTGCCTGTACGGACTCATCTCATTCTATAAATTGTAAGCTTCCTGAGAGGAGAAATCAAGTTTCTCTCACAAAACATTCCCAGTTTAGTATAGTACTTAACACACAATAGTACTTAACACACAATAGCTGCTGAATATAAGTCGGTTGAATTGAATTAGGAAAATAAGTACTTACCTTGTGGTTACAGACAGGTTGCCAGGGTGATAGGAAGAGTCTACTAGGTTTATCTATGCCACAAATACCACACATACATCTATTTTGTTTATTTTTCTATGTAACCATCTGGAATTTTTCAGCACAAACTTTGTTGGTGTGTCTCATGGTTTTGATTCAAGTAGAGAGGGAAGAAGGAAACAAATATTTATATGTATATGGCAAGCATACATATCAAGCATGCCTTTTTTATGTTAGCTCACTTAAGCAGTCAACCCTCTTCATAAATTTGGGAAGAAAAGTACGATTACCTCCACTTTACTTTATATGTCTATTATATATAGATACGGGTATATAAACTTGTATATACATATGTAAAAAAGTAATATATATTTGAAGAGTTATTGATACTATAATATACATACATATATATACACATACATTTATATAAATGCATATACATACATATATATATATAAATACACGCACATATATATAAAAATTACTGCCTGAGCAAAATAAAACAGATGGTTATTTTTAAAATACAATTATGTCACTTACTGGAAAGTATAGAAGCAGAGACCCAAAAAGAATTGTTTCCAGCAGGATAAGGCCTGATGCCCTGATGCTCTAAAAAAAAAAAAAAAAAAGAAAAAGAAAAAGTCATTGTTAATTTACATTCCTAGAATGGAAGAACTTATGCTAATGTGACAATGCCTCAACCAGTAAATGAAAATTGGCTAGTATTTCAGAAGTGAACTTAACTGAAACATGCAAAAAGACTGACTATAAGGGTGGTGGTGGACTTGATGATATTGCCAGTGGCTTCATGGAATTTTGTTCTCTAAAATTTGAATCCATGAGCAATCTGAGCAGCTGAGAACACTTTTTAGAAGATCCTTTCAATCCAAGAAGTTCACAGATACAAAATATCTTGCTTGTATTTCTGAAACATCAACCACAAGTACATATGGAATGCTAACCCTTAACCATTTCACAAATACTTCCAGGATGGTTTTAGTGGATAAAACAGACATACACACAAGGTCTTGGCAACTCAGTAATATATACCTCATCATGTCAAAAATAGTCACCCAAGCTCACCTAACAGAGCTCCACTATGTGAATAATATAAGTCATATTAAATAACAGAGGTATTTCACCTTGTGAATATGCTTAAATTATTCTTAACTGAAAATTCAATAGAATAAATTGATTTTTGAATAATTTCCTAATTATTTAAAGTTTACTATGCATAAATATGCTTAATAATCTTAAGATATTTTGTTAGACTCAAATAGCATTATCTTTCCAAAGCAGAATGATTGAAGTTGTGGCAAGAAATAAAAGACCAAATAATTTTATCTTCTAATAAAAAATTTTGCTTCAATGAGTTCAAGTATCAATACAGAGTAAAAATATTAGTTAAGAATACAAACACAAGGGGCGCCTGGGTGGCTCAGTCATTAAGTGTCTGCCTTCGGCTCAGGTCATGATCCCAGAGTCCTGGGATCAAGCCCCACATCGGGCTCCCTGCTCTGCGAGAAGCCTGCTTCTCCCTCTCCCACTCCCCCTGCTTGTGTTCCCTCTCTCGCTATGTCTCTCTCTGTCAAATAAATAAATAAATATCTTTAAAAAAAAAAGAATACAAACACAAAAACAGGTTTTTCTAGAATACCTGTGTTTTCACTAAATGCAACATGAAATATATACAAAAATGACACCTGGTGCAAATATAGTACCTTCACAGGAAAATAATTTGAAGTAGTAGCAACTGATTTTGCAACAACAAAAAGAAGCTAAAAACTCAAGCCACAAGAGTCCATTACATTAAAACAACATCAGATAAAAATAAAAACAAACAAAAAAGCCCCCACACAATGTCAGATAAATGACAGCCAGAGAAAAAAAATTATAATATCTCTTCAAAACACTGCTAGGACATCATTAGACATAGAGGAATACTTTATGTAATCCCTCAAAAGAACTCAAGGCTTTCATTAATCTAAGAATTTGCAATGGAGAAACAAGTTTAGTCAGCGAACAGACTTGATTATTCAAGTGGCTTCTCACTATTGGTCTTTATTTTAGCTAGCAGATGCTTTTAGTGAAAAGAAAACTTCTATCAGCAAGCCTGTAGATGGGTTTTGGCTGGTGGAATTTCTAAGATGGCAAATTACATTTGTACCTAATTATGAATACTAGATTTTTAAAACTTTACAAAAAGATGACACTAAGAGTGAGAGTCCAAAATTTTATACAAGACTGCTTATAAAACTATGTAATATTGTTTAAAGATTTATTTATTTGAGAGAGAGAGCGTGCTCGTGTGAGTGCTGGGTGGGGGGGGTGGGAGCGGAGGAAGAGGGAGAGAGAGAATATCAGACTCCCTGATGAGGGTAGAGCCCCACACCAGGCTTGACCCCATGACCCCAAGATCATGACCTGAGCAGAAATCAAGAGTTGACACTTAACCGACTGAGCCACCCAGTGCCCCCTCTATGCAATATTGTTTTAAAGAAAGGGATATGAAGAGAAGCTGCAAGGTTTAATGGAAAAGACAGACTTTGAAGTTCTCTTCATCTGTCTGAATTATGAAACAATTACTGAGTAGGTCACTTTGAATTTCAAAGTTTTCACCCATAAAATGGGCATCCTAATATTTATCTTATTAAATCTGAGGGTTTTAATAAAATGTAAAGTATACAAAATGGCTACTATTATGCCCAATTCTTAGCAAGTAGGTAGGTATACACTCTTTAAAGAAACAGCGCCAGGATAGTGAATTTGAAATCCATAGAAGTAGCAGTCAAATTTTTTTTAATGCTTGAGATCCAGATAGCCTCAGAAGAGCCCAAAGTGGGGGTAGAGAACCCAAGAGTTCTTTTTTTTTGTTTCAGGGCCAGTATTTCTTAGCTGCGTTACAATAGTTATTACTACATAACAGCGGTAGTGGTGCATATATTCTGAGTAAATAACCTGTTTCCTTTTGTTGAGCAATCTTCTTAACTCTTCACCGCCTTGCTCTTGGCTGAGGAGAGGAGCCCATAATTTCAAATTATTAACTGGAATCCCAACAAGTGGTTCTATAATCAAATGGAAGACCTATTCCAAATGTACACTTTTCTTTTCAAAATATTCTTGGACTGAGTTGGCTTCATGGCCTCACAGAATGAGTAGGTACCTAATAGGCAGGACTTCAGGGACAAAAAAAGAAAGCTCATGCTCCCTAAAACATTTCCCTGTTGTCTTATTGGTACTGGAAGTTCTTTGAACTAGAGAGAAGCCTTTTATTTTATACTTGGTGCCAAGGATTACTATACAAATGTTGTAAATAACATGCTGACTTAAGTTCAAAGTGAAGAACAGAAATCTTTTCCTTGAAGTCTAAGTGATAGGATGAGGAAGGGATTGAAAAATGAAGATGGTGCAGCCACTCTGGAAAACAGTATGGAGGTTCCTCAAAAAGTTAAAAATAAAACTATACCGTATGATCCAGGAATTGCACTACTAGGTATTTACCAAAAGAATACAAAAATACTAATTCAAAGGGAGACACGCACCCCTATGTTTATAGGCATTATCTACAATAGCCAAATTATGGAAACAGCCCAATTGTCCCTCAACTGATGAATGGATAAAGAAGATGTGGTATTTATTTACAATGGACTATTATTCAGCCACAAAAAGAATGAAATCTTGCCATTTGTAATGGTGTGGATGGAGCTAGAGAGTATTATGCTAAGTGAAGTAAGTCAGTCAGAGAAAGACAAATACCGTATGATTTCACTCATACGTAGAATTTAAGAAACGAAGTAAACAGGCAAAGGGGGAAAAAAAAAGAGAAAGAGGGAAGCCAAGAAACAGACTCCGATGGTTACCAGAGGGGAGGTGGTGGGGGGATGGGTGAAACAGGTGATGGGGATTAAGAAGTGCACTTGTGATGAGCACAGGATGATGTATGGAAGTGTTAAATCACTATATTGTATACCTGAAACTAATATTACACTGTATGTTAACTAACTGGAATTAATATAAAAACTTAAAAAAAAAGAAAAATGAAGATGGGCAAGGGATATAATGAGCAAAATAACAGATATGTAAAATATAATAATTTTATACTCAAGAGATAATTTCATCTCCTTCACAGTAGTGCCTGAGATAGAAATGGTGGTATGTAACCCTTTAACCAGAATTGCTGAGAAACTCTGAGAAAACTTTATTGAAAGAGGATCAATAATATACAATACACTATTTATTTAAAATACATACATACAAGTCAACACCATATATATTCTAGATATATATAAATATATCAAATACATATCTGGAAGATACATACCAAGCTGATAACAATGTTTTTTTTTTTTCTTCTGGAGAAGTGGATAGATTTGAGGACAGAGCAACTTATTCAAAAATATTTTCATTTCTTTGGAGATGTAATCATGCACTGCTATGTAATATGCATTTTAATAATTAAATTAAGTAAAATTAAAGTATTCTAAAATGTGACAATTTAGCTATTGGAAGATTCCACCACTAGGCATCATAATATGCCAAGAAGTCTAAACGAAGGTCTTCCCAACTAGTATCTACTTAAGTTTTTATTCAGTACCAACCAGATGTATAAAATTAACAAACAGCATTTTTATGATACTTACAGGTAAATATAGAGCTGGGGGAGTTATCATTGAGCCTAACTCTCTCATTTAGAATCTATAAAGCCTAATAAATATAATTCCAGAGTTTACAATAGAGGTGTGCAGATTTCACCTCACTCCACTCCACCCCACCTGCCCCATTTCTTAAACTTTCTGAACTGACTTAAAGAAAGTTTGTAACAGTCAGATATCAAACCTGTATACTAAAGAAAAGAGATAATCTTATTATACAAGTTTTATTAAATTACGTCAAAGTCAATTGCTAAATTCCATAATCCTTGGATACAAGGTAGAGAGGCATAAGATGAAGCACAGTTGCAGTTGTCACAAGATTTGCTCATGATGTAGGCATCCAGAGGAAGCTAAGTCACTGGAAGTAATAAGGCGATGAGAATGCTGAGGCCTGATTTCTTAAAAAACAATTAAAATGGTTTGTCATTAGTTCCTTGATTCTACAAGGACTAACTACTTCATTTATATTTTTAAGACATTTTTAGCCACTGGGGAAATTAATGTATATCTTGCTAAAACAGTGCAGCTATTTTGAATTATAGCTGATTTCTTTAGTCTTGTAGCAATGAAAGTTTCTTTTTCTTACAAAAGGAACCTGTGAGCATGAAGGTAGTTTTACACAGCTAGTACCTCAGAATGCATGATGAAAATATAATACAGCAATAGATTTAGATTCTGAAAAGAATGAACTGGCATAGGTTTGGATCATAAACCAAGACTGTAAATCTATATTATTTACAAAAAGAATTAGCCACGCTAGCAGAACAGACTTCTCTTTCTTTAGAGAAATCCATGGACAGGGAGATTACAAATAAACAAACACGTGATGAAACAATTACACAGTAACAAATTGGAAGCAAGATGTAAAAGTGGCCTTAAAGAGAATCCTAACATTGAGAAATATGAGGATGTTATTTTTTAATAATTTTATTTACAGTTATATAAATAAATGAGAAC